CGGCGCGGGATCGAATCCCCCGGCACTGGTTGTTTACGCCCAGCCGCTGAAGAGCGCTGTTTTCCTCCGCGGCCTAGCCAAGAGGAAGGTGCCACTACCTCGGGCGGTGCACTTTTAGTGGCACTGCATCAAAATAAAAGACCGACACGACGGCCTTCTCTCCGTCATGGCCCCGCTGCGAGCGCCTCACACGCATGGCGCCGGGCATTCGAATTTTGTGTTGCTGCAGTCAAGATAGTGCATTCAGCCGGTCGCTTCCCCTCTCTGCAATTGACTCCGTGGTCGCCGCCGCGAGTTCCCTGAAGATTGGATGATGGCTCCTGGTGCGCGGAAGAGATACGACACCAAGCGAAAGGAGAGAAAGCCCTATTCTTGAGACACCTAGTTGGCTTGCTGCTGGAATGTGAGCACATGTCACCGGTGGGCAATCAGTCAGAATTTTTTTGCCTACTAGGAGTTCTATCGAGATTGGCTGCCGGCAGATGTGGATTAATACGCGACCCACCCATAAGCTGACAGAAAAAACGCGTCTTATGGCTTCTTTTCGATATGAACCGCTTATAAATAATTTAAGAAAAGTATATATTCGTTCCTGGATAATAAAAAATTCTTAATACTAATTTCTTTGACTTTGTTGCTCCTCTGAAGGCTGCCTGAAGCCCCACATCTTTCGTTTAACAAAATAAAACATGAGGCGAAGGCTCTAAAGAACAGCAATGATGAGCTTCAGAATGAGCACCGCTATTAGAAGTAAAAAGATACTCCTTTTCTCTCCAAAGATCTTTAGCCGAGGCAGCGTACCGCCGTGGATGTAACGACGTCCTTTTCCGCATTCACAGTATTGTAGTGGCCGTGAGATGAAGTGCAAGCCTACCGCCACCGCCCCTTCATACTAGAAGTATTACTAGCACGATGAACGTTTTTGACAGTTACATCACAAACAACATTCAACTCAGAGATTCTTTTTCATGTCGTCAATCTGCAACATGGGATAGCTTCATTTACTTAACTTATGAAATAAGACTGTTTCGAACGGGCTTGAACCAGCGAATATAACAGTCAGACAGCCTAACCATTACAAGATCCAATCCACTGTTCGTAAGTTGCAAGGCGATAAATAAAAGACGCAGATCATTCCTACCAACGAGGAAACGAGCACATCCATGTATCATGAGGCGTTTGAGAATACCAAAAGCGAGAACGCGTCGCATAAACACATTTGACTTCTGCGCGATGAGTTTACATTCTTCGTCGTCGAATAATCGATCCCCCCTGTCGCATGTCCCCGTCGACTGCGACCGACGCCGCGTCCTCCGCCGGATGCCCGCGGACGCGTTGCATCGGCCAGAGCGGCCCCACGCTGCGCTTCGAGGCGGCTCATGAACGAGGCCCGCCCCGCCACGCCACGCCCCGCCCGCCGGCCGTCACGCGCCTATTTGCGGCGCCCGGGAGAGGGCGGGCGAGGCCGCCCACGCAGGTGGGGCCGGCTGTGTGGGCGCCCAGAATGCACTTGGGCTGGCGCGAAGCGATGCGATGCGATGCGATGCGACCCGATGCAGCTAGCGGAATGCCGTGATCTGCCTGCGGCATTATCTCCGTCGTTCAATCAGGCGCACAACGTACGCACGCTCGCAGCTGCTGCGGCACAGGCAGTATGTGTGCCTACTCGTTTCCGATGCACATTCCATGCACACGTGAATTACTTACTCACGTAGCAAACATTATTACATTTATTATTTTGTTGTTATAATAATTATTGAGGTGTGCAGAGTTGTTGAAACATTCCTCAGAAAGGCCTCCTAATGAAAAGTGTAGGTTCAACTTATCATTGTCTGTGAATTTTTGCAACTGAATGGTTGTTGAGAGTGCTGTTCAGTTCATCTTAATTCTCGTTGTTGTTGTTTTTATGTAAGTCTGCACAACAATTTTTTTTTCTTCTTCTCAAAAAATGATACATCAACTTTCAATGATAAAAAAGGACAGTCTGATAATTCATTGATTCTGAAACTTACTCCATATTTTGGAAATTGTAAACAATTTCATAAAATAGTTTTCTCCATTCTCAAAATATGTTCTCAATTTTACGATAGTGATACGATTTGTCAGTAAGGTGGTGATAACCGAAATTATCAGTTTGAAGTGAAGAACGAAGGAAAAGGTCGACGTTTCTAAAACCCTTCCTTTACTTAATGATATCTTGTAGTAACATTTGCTGTGTTCTTCTGGAGGCCCAATCTCACACTAAGTTGTACCGATATATTAATAAAATAAGAAAAGGGAGTGTTAAGTTAGGTACGTCGTAAAGAGTTGTGCTTGTAATTAATTGGCGATTGTGCGCCGCTGGCCGTCTGGGGCGCAGAGAAATGCCGTTGACTTCCCTGGGCCAAGCGCCTGTGCGGAGGCGTGGCGCCGCCCCCCCCTGGCTTCCCTTTCGCGTGGCCCTTCCGCAGCTACGCGCCTGCACGCGTGCGCGAGGGACAAAGCGCGCCGCAAGCGTTAAATATAAAAGTCGCGTCATTCGCCACTTTGGCAGCCGGCCCGCCGCACGCCCGTGGCTCGAAGCTGCGCCAGTTTTATTAGGTCAGTGATGCTCCTCGCTGCAGACTTGGTCCTCCAGAATAGAAACGTGTAGCTTTAGTTGCGATGGCGTAACAGAACAAAAAATTATGAAATGAAAATTAGTGAATATTTTGTTAGCGTTTGAAAAATATTTTCTGCGAATTAGAGGACCTTCTGAATCTCGTAGATATTTTGTATTGTTGATACATTCATTGCGATATCCTAAACTGTCATTAGGTCATACCGATCATTCCCATGTGTTCTTGAGATCATTTTGACACCAACGTATGCAAATTCAGTCATTTTGAAATGAATTAAAGTTATGATGCATCACGCTGTGTCTTCCAAGTTGTGTATTCTGTAATTTTACTCATGATTTACGGTCAATATTTGCCCAAAGTGATATCAGAGATACTTTTACTACTATTTCGTCCGAACACGGATTTAAATTAGGTGTAACTGGCATTTTTGTGAAAAAAATATATCCACCTCTCTTTCTCCGTCTCTCTCTCTCTCTCTCTCTCTCTCTCTCTCTCTCTCTCTCTCTCTCTCTCTCTCATAGTTGTTTAATTTGAATACAATAAATATTTGCACTAAACAAATGTTAAGATATTAAATAGCTCTGCGTTAACAGTTTTGGTTAAATGACTACTCACTTGGAAATTCATTTCCCAGAGCAGCGTTCTCTAACCCAAATCATTCCCCCCCGAACCGCTTAGTGACCTGATCGAAGATTCAGAATCGGACCCTGTCACCTCCGCATTTGCATAACGCGCGGCCGCGGAGTGGCGGCGCGCACCCAGCGGGCGTCGCATCGTCACATTCTGACAATTCCTAATTGAAGGCGGCGACCGCGTTAACTGCGGGATTGCGTATGCGCGCCCTGGGAACGCGAGGCGAGGGCCGGCCGGCTGCGCGCTGACTCACTCCCGCGCTGCTGCCGCTGCCGGGCTAGCGCTGCTGGCCGACGTCCCCGCGCTCGCCCTCGCCCCTGCCCCCGCCTCCCCGCTCCCGGTGGCGCTGGCGGTGCCGATGTGGCTAACGAGTGACATTTCTCTTTTCCATGCTGTCTCACGTGCAGATGAGTTCAAAATCGCAAAGAAGAAAGGTGAGTGTTTGTGTGGTTTTAGATTGCGATCTTTTCTCTTATGTTCTTGCTTTGGATTTGTTCTTTTGATTTCTTGGATATATGTATTGTGCTTCGTTATATTAAATTAATAATTGAGCATGACTGTTATTACGTATTTCATTTGTTTTGTTAATTCTGACATTTTACTTGCTGTAATGTTTCGTATACGTAATTATAGGCACGCCTTTCATTTCTTATTCCTTGTTTATGAGTAATACACGAGCAAGTGGTTGTTTTCAGTACTCATTAGAAGTGTGTTAAACTGTTTAATAATGTTGCGTTTCCAAGCGCTTCTACACCTGCTTATGTTATATGATGAAACGTATTACAACTTCCCTGTGTGCGTTATGAAAAAATGTGGTCAGAAAGACAATTGAAGGGTTTGGTTCAAGATAGACGTATGTCATTTGAATTCATTCTGAGAAATAAGAAGATACATTTTTTAATGAAACGCACTTTGCCACAGAGCAAAGGACAAATGCTTCTGTAGAATAGCGAAATTTTCTTACACCAGCATTTCAGTATTTACTCAAACTAGCAATCGGTATGGCGAGTATGTTAACACGATTATCTTAATTTCGACCAAAATGTGGTTTCTAGAGCCGAGATCTTCATTAGGTATATAATATTTGTTAGAAAAGTTCTTTAAGCGATCAGTTCGTTTGGTTGAATCAAAATATTATTTCCGAATATACATTTAAATTCAAAACATTCAATAGATAAGTTAACGATGGGGAATGAAAAATAAATTAATTATTGGATTGAAAATTAAACGAAATAAGAACAAAATACTAGATCCATAAATCAATTTGTCAAAATTAAATCGCATTACAATGAAGTGAAAATTTAAAACGAAGAAATAGAGAAAAACATTGATTACGCATTTGTTTCATTTGCTATCTATGCTTTGTTGACAAACAATGGAAGATAACTTGTTGGGATCTAATCGTCTGGGGAGGGTAGGATGTAGGAAATTCCCTCGTAATGCATTTTTTTGGAAAATACTGTATTTTGTGATCTATCAATATTTTATTGTCTTCAATAATTAATTTTAATAATGAATTAAAAGTTGCGCAGTAAATAGTATCTATGAATTTAATGAAGTGGACGTTCATAGAGTTGGCTATATCATTTGTCAGTGTAAATGTGCCTCGTCTCAAAAAGAACCGCCCTCCCACAAAATCGCCAGCATGGCGGATCCACGCGTGTGTGGGAAGGGATGAAACGTGCTCCCCCACACGTCACATGCAGTGTGTCCTGTGCTTTGAGCAAATGCATCGAATGAAGGAATGTGTGGCGTTGTGTTGCGCAGTCGCCGCTGCCGCGCGGCTACCCGCCGCCCTCCACGGCCATGCTGTTCGACGACGACCCGGGCATCATGTCGGAGGTGGAGACGAGCTCGACGGGCTTCCGCCGCGGAGGCAAGCAACGCAGCTCGCTGCCCGTCGTGCGCACGCCCTCCAAAACCCTGGAGAGGCCGCTCGGTAAGACGTCTGGCGTGCTAAGGGTCGCCTCCGCCACCCCTGCGGGCCATCATGGTGTGCTTCCCCAACACCACCTGAGTAGCAAGTCGGCAGCAACTGGCAGCGGCGGTAGGGGGAACACCTTACATTCTGGCTCGCTTCTTCCTCTTGCTGCACCCTGCATGACTCAGTGTCCACGATTCCACATAGTGGCTAGTGCGGCTGGCAGGCAGTGGACCCTTCGGGCGGGGTCGCTCGTAGGGCTAACAACGCTCGGAGTCCCAGGCCGGAGGAGGCTTCTCCCTCCGCCGAAACGGTGTTACTGCTGCGGCTACAGATGAATACACATTCTTACTTCAGAAATCAACGCGTTTTAATCGACCCACTATCACATTGTTACACATGTAGCTTTTATTTGTTTTTTATTGTGACTCGTTTAACAATGTTTTATATTGCAATAGCAATATGTAACAATTTATTTTATTGTTAAGTTAACAATGAATACGGTGGTATATATTTTTTACTATTAAACTGCTCGTATTTTCGGTATTCACTTCTTCCTCTCTGTTATTATTGTAACGCCACAACACAAGAACGGGACTCAGCTAGAGAAACAAAATGCAATCGTAGCATTCACTAAACTATCGGCCACTTCCAGAGCGTTGGCAGCCCTAGTCGCACACTGTTCTTATGGATAGAATGAGGTTTTTGTACATTGTTTCTTTTGGTTTAGTTCTTTACACAGTGGTTCATGTGGTTCAATCAGTGTATACACACTTCTACTGATTGACACATTGAAGTTATGCAATGTTTTCTTCTTGAAACGATTTATTTGAGGAGGGATGCATAGATCTATTAATGCTGCTTCATTTTGCACATTATATTATATACTCTACTGCTCTCGTAATTTTTCCTTAAAGTGTTGTGATTACACAATGAGTAATTAGTATTGCCATGCATGTTTATATTGATTCTATTAGAGCAAGAAAGCATTATTTTAATTTGAATGCCTACAAAACATTGACTCCCAGTATTCTGAACGTCATGTTGCATGTTCTGGACATACTAATCTATCTTTATTTCTGTACAGCAGAGATTAAAAATAAAAATGGTGTAAATATTAATTGAAACAAAGTTATTCATGACTTTAAATTACATTCAACTGTTTAATGAATATTGTATATTTTGACTTATTAATCTTACGAATAAATTTTCAAAAATCTATAATCATCACTTATTAACAAATTAGTAAACAATTGTTTACTTGTATTACAAACTTGATGACATTTCTAAAGGATGTTAATTAATATTTGTATTAAAAAGTCTTATGTTTAATTACACAATATCTATGCATCCCTGAAAGAAACAGAAGAAATGCACCCACATTTTAGTAAAATTATGATCTCATATTCATGTTTTTCCTTTACTATACAGCATTCTTTTGAATCTCCTCTGGTGTTGTACATGGGGTAGTGTGTCTTAATTTCTGGCTCAGACAAGCTCACAGTTGCTGTTGGCAGTAGTTTTGTTTAAAAACTGGTTTGTAACGAAAGGTTACAATGGATGTAGCTCCTCTGGTGGTTTGGTGATGCACATCATTCAGTCTGTTTTGTTCAGGTATCTATCTGCATGGCAGGGAGGGTCCACTGTTTCTTACACATGTTGCTGAAGGCTAAACACCAGTAGTGCTAGTTATACCTTTAGTAGCCTTATCTGCCTCTTAATTGCCTCTTTTTATTCATTTCTAGTTCATTTAAGGTGTTGCATAGATCAAACGTATACCTATCCAATATCCTGAGAGTGGTAATTAATGAAACTCATTTCCCTAACTCTATTTAGTGTTATTATAGAAAACATAGATATTTATCATTTGAGTTTGTATTATATTTTTACTGTACACTTACTTTTTCTGTATATTTTTAGCATTTTTCCTTTCCACACCTTTGTCTTTTATGTTCTTGAATTTTAAATCATATGATAATTGTATTGTAATATAAAATTGTAAAGAGGCAAACATAATTCATAATCCTTTTATGTAGTGGAAACAGAATAGCTCTTAAGTTACACCCTGAACGTATTATTTATTTTAAAATTATTTTAGTGTTTGAAACATGTGTACCTACTCTTATTAAATGTTTTTCATACATAATAGCTAGGAATGTGTTGTAATTATCAAGAAACAGAGATGACCTTTCATCAAGTGAGGTAAAATCATTTGAGGTAACAAGAGAAAAATATAGATTATGGAGTTTATTCTTTCTGTGATTTTGTAAGTTTTTTGTTACCTGTAAAAGCAATAACATTATTTAAACTCTGTACTAGTATCAATTTAAATTTTATTTAACATATTTTAATATTTAACATATTTAAACATGATTTTTGTTTCATCAATGATGCATGTACATTGTAAGTTTATATTTAATTTGCCTTATTTTCAGCAAGATCTATTAAATCATATTAATCCAGTATATTGGTGAAAATGGATGAATAAAATTTTTTTAACTAGAAAGATGTAAAAGTTACGTTAAACTAATCTTAAACATCAAAATAGTTTTTATAATATTAAAGTGACTTGAAGTACTTTACGACATTGAATTTGTGGTGTAAAGCAATGTCCAGAAATTATATATGAACTGATAACATTGATATATTACAACCATTTTTCTTACTAATTAATTAAGATGTAATTTTCTGATTAAGTAAGAACATTTCTTTGAATTTTTTTAAGAACAATCTCCACTCAGAAAACGGATTTAAAAGAATAATTTATTAATCAATATTTCAATTTTTGTTTTTTAAATTCATCTCCTTTTAATGTAACATTGCATTTTTATTTGGATGTGTGATGTATCATCAATAGAAATTTGAGATTTTCAGAATTTGAAAGTACTTCAAACATGATTAAAATGCCATGCAAACTGCAAGTAAACAGGCCTGTTAAATATTTCTGGAATGAACTAGATTAGTACTTGTACTATGAAAGTATTCTGCACAGAATGCGGACTTTGCATGTTGAAACTAATTTGTAGTACTTAAAAAAACTGTGTTCATGCTTCTTTAGTATTGCAGTGCATATTGAAATATCATTAGAATGAGCTTTGTGAAAAGGTTATTATGATACATGTACTAAACTGCGTTTGTCAGAGGAAATGCTGTAAATGATTTCTTAATATTGAATTATGTAATAATGTATGTTAAGTTAATGGGAAAAACTTAATGTACAAAGTAATGCAATTTTATGTGCCGTATTTATATTTATTGTCAAGTGAAAATATCCCCCAAAGCCTTTGCAATTCCTCTGGTTAGTAACACTTGTATTTAATTTAGATAATTATTTGTATTGCATCAGTTCTTGTAGGCCAGATTGCATTAGGTATTTGGCCAATGGAATGAGTTTATTGCAGTGTATGCAAAATGTCTGAATGAATTGCTACATCTCACTTTCATTTCAACACCTGCATTAAGTTAGTTTGCTGTTAATTTCTTTTTTTCTTCAAAGTCAATTGTATTTTGACCATAAAAACATGCTTTTGCAAATAGAAATTTAATTTTTATATTTGGTGAGACATGAGAGTGATAGGCGCATGATATATTTTCTAGAATATTCAATTTTGTGATAATATTTTTAATTCTACAAACACCATTTCACCTGTCTTTAAAAATATCCAGGTGCATACTTATTTTTAAACACTTCGTTTGTAATATTTTTATGTCAAAGTGTTGTAATGGGCTTATAACATTGTAACTTGACATCTGAAAATTAATTACATTCCATTTTCATTCATATCACTAATGAAAGAAATGATAATGCTTTCTTTATTGCACACTGAATACACTACTAATAACAGAGCCAACATGTCTGCTTGTGTTACAGGATTGGTATTTTTGCAATATCGTAGTGAAACTAAACGGGCTCTACTTCCGAATGAGATAACATCTATTGACACTGTCAAGGCCCTTTTCGTGCGGTCCTTTCCTAAACAACTGACAATGGAGTACTTGGATTCTCCTCATGTTAAGATATATATCCATGATTCTTCAAAAGACATGTTCTATGAGCTAGAGGATGTTCGGTAAGTTGGAGAACTTTGACTCTGTATTTTCATTCTGAGAGAATTTAAACTGAATGTGTGGAAAAAGAATTCAATGACCTAAATACTATTTTACTCAAAGTGATTTTTGATTCAGTGTTCCATGATATGTAGAATATATTGTTTTTTTCAAATTCTTCAAAAATTTTAATTTAGTTGCAGAAAATACTTTTTGCAATGATGTAGAATTTTTAAAGAAGGAAAATAGTGTACAGATTATTTAATTAAAATGTTTGTGTGTGAAATAATAGAAATCATATTTAAATACATTATGTGTGCATTTGATATTTCTGATTATTTATTAATTGTATATTTGTGTTCACTATTTTCTTGGTCTCACTGTAAGTCATGACAAAAACAATTTTAGACTTTTGACCCTGGTAGAATTTAGGTCTTTGTTAAGTTGAAATTTTAATTGTTTATTTCTGGAACAGTCCTATTCTGTGGTGGAACTTTCATTAAACAATGTTCTGTCATTTTTGAAATCTAATTATTTTTGTTATATTTTGAACATTATCTAATGTGCAATGTATGTATATTGTAGGTCTCATTTGCGTGATATTCGGGACCGTTCTGTGTTGCGCCTCTTCGAATCAGCTGACATGAATGGTGGGGTTCTCCCTGGTGCTGGCGTGGGTGTGATGGCTCCATCAATGTGGGACCAGGACCAGTCGTACTTCAGTGAGCCAGAGTTTGATTCAGAATACCAACACCAGCATATACACAAGTCAAAGGTAAGGTAGATCTAATAGTTTCTTATATTGGGTTTTCATTTCAAGGTTTTTCAGTACATGTGAATCTATGTACACTTCTGAATTCTCCAGGGTAATGACAACTTAATGAATAATGCTTCTTAAGAAACATGACATATATTTACCTTTAACAGAATTATTCTACATTTGACTGTGTGAAACTATACATGTAGCTACAATATAAAAATTCATTTTTTATTACTCATGAAATTCATAAATTTGTAATAGTATTATTCTGATTGTAAACTTAAAACATGAATTCAACATGAATGAAACATGAATTCTGTTGATATGAATTATTTTCAAGATTCACTATAAAAGAACTTAGAGTAAATGCAAATTAAAATAAACTTACAATAAATGATTGGAAAAACATAGAACAAAAGACAAAATATTTTAAAATATGTAAATCAAGCCCTGAAATCTAAGTAAAAAAAACATATAAATAAGGCATTCATTTTGAGAAGACAGAAATGGCACATTCCTAAAGTCATTCCAAGATTTCTAGGAAAACTTGAAAAGAAAAGAAAACATTTTTCTCAAAAGATATAAGAATGATAGCATCACCATACACTTTGTTTACAAGTTATTAACAGACCTAATTAATAACAAAATACACACTTTTCATTTATATTTGTCTGTAAATAAATTAGCAGGAATAGCCTAAAAATCTTACACGTCTTTCAAAGAAATTACATCTTTGATTGATGGCATAGCATGCCTTTATTGAATAATAAATACTAGCAACCATTATTTTTAACTGCAAATTGTATCTCTTATTTTAACGTGAATGTTGTTAATGTATAAAATGTACATTCAGGAATTTGATGACCATTTTTAAATGGCTTTTTGATGCCTAAATTTGATGTAAAAAATTACCTGAGATACATTGTATATCTGAATTAATTTGCCATATAATAACAAATGCAGTTGTATGTAACTACAAAAGGGATTTTTCTCTATAAACTAAAATAATGTAAAAGTAAAACATAACAAACAAGATAGGGACAAATAGTGAGTTTGCAAAAATTTCTTCAATAATAATTTGTTACAGAAAAAAAAAATGGTTTCTGAATGATAGTGTTTTTCCAACTTGAAAATATATATAGCACATTTCAAATTGTAATTTTATCATCTTAGAAAATTAAAATAGATAATTACAAAATAAACGTATAAAAATTGTTAATAACAAGGAGATACAAGGTGAGATTTAAGAAACAGACTTTGCATGTCGCCATTTGTCCCTTTTCCGACAACAATAAAAAAATAGGTTATTGCTTTTAACAAATATATTGCGATCTGGTCGAGATTTCGAGAAATGTTCCCAATCTCTCTTGGATACTGTAACTTTGAATGCATTTTATCAGTAGAGCGAGGGGACAATTTTTCTGAAACGTTTTCTTCTCACTTTTCACGTCTGTCGAATTCACGTCTGACCAGTTGGTGAGAATTTCGTTAAAATCTAGAAACAAGCCCAACTGCGGGTGAGCGTTTGGCTTGATTTGATTTATTCCACATATCGTAGACAGATACATTGTTTCATTCTAATCATTGAGTGTATTTTCATTTTCACAATGCAAACAGATATCTCGCAATAAAAACATTTTAAAATCACCAAGGTTCCAGGCATCTTGTTTTTCCGAACGATTAGAAGTGAATTTGCTGCGACTAGGAATTACCTACTTCGCTAAATTCACTTCCAAATTTCCCTGCTGGTCCATGTATCCAATTTCCAGTTGTATCCAACTGCAGTTGGAAATGAATGTGATGTGAATTTGACGTTGCGACCGTGATGGGAGAGAAATACGCTGCGGTTTTTGGTGTTTTTATCATGTGCGCAGTGAAGTGAAACACGCGCCATTTGAAACTGGCTTCACAAAAAAAGTTAGAATGCACTAAGAGTGACATAACGAGAATTGTGAAGAAATTGGTGAAGAAACTCGTTATCACACGGCTTTGAGGCTTTGAGAGAAACGGATCGTAGGGCGTACTATATGCAATATTCATTCGCAATGAACTATTTTTCTGTTGTGGCTTCAGATAGTGTTAATTGAAAAAACATGATCATGACAATGGAGTAACTAGAACATAAAGAGGTAGCGTCCTCATGTTGACCAATAACTGCCCACGTTCATAAGTTGCGTAATTTAGAAACGGCCCTTGGGTCTCAATCTCTTCTACTGGCGTACTCTATCCCCCTTTTTTGGGAGGAGGAGATTCCACTCTCTCCCTGAGCCCCGAGCTTTGGCTACGCTACCGGGTCATTATCCCACGTTTTCCGTTGTTCCACGAGAAGGCGACGCTTAAGCGAAGTCCGACATTCAAAGCTGCAGTATCCTGAGAAGATCTCGCGGCCAGATCGCGGTGCCGAAGGTCCGCGTGTTGGATTCACGCGTGCGTTTCGAGCCGCGTGCTCGCTCATTCGCCGTTGCTTAATTCACGTCGTTGCCATAATTACACATCAGCTTTGTTATTGGTTGTAATAAAACTAGCGTGAAGGAATTCAAAGGGTATGTGACTCGTTCCTCCAAAGGCTAATTGACAGCGTTGTTTTAGTATTAATGCAATGCTGCAACATTTACTGACAATCATGTTTCTTGCATGTGATGAGACGTCTTCTACGCTTTTTTATTACGAAAGTGTATTCATGTGGCTATCACTAACTAAATCTTACATAGCAACACTGTAATATTGTTAGTGATTCAGATTAATATAAACGTCACTTTAAAAGCAAGATTTTTACTAAACAAGACTTTTTAGTCACATACGTTAATCGTGCTCTAAGTACGAGATACACATACACTTTTGTTCCCCCTGCGAGAATAAATGTTGTTTTGTTTAAATGTTGAAGCCCCATTATTTTTTGTTGCATACGGTGGTTGACACTGTGCACTTCGCTTTTTATAAAAATCATGTTGAGCATTGTTGAAAAATGCGTCTACTTCTTCTGCAGCCCAGAGAGACAGTGAATGTTTCGTTTGCTGATTCGCCCGTTTATAAGTCGAGAACGCCGGAGTCGACCCGACCGTTCTTTTAGCTTTTCTTCCCTCGGATTGTGTTTTTGCTAAATATTTAAACCCAGGCAGTGACAGGAAGAGTTTTCCGCTGGAGCGCCTGCTCTTGTTATCTTCCTTGAGCGGACACCGCAACCCAAAGCTCCTCCTTCGGTTTCGTAATAGTTTCGCGTGATTTGACGCTCCCTCAGGCAGGCGATGAATTCCGAAAACTCCTGACTTATCGATTCCTCACCTTATCTACCCGCGTTTCTATTGGCGAGGCTGCGGAATTACTCGGACGCTACCGAATTTGGACGGTGGCTGCTGGCCGGGCGTAACGTTTCCGAACCTCCGCAGAAGAAACTGTGTGATTAATGCGATGAAAACTTGGCTTGGAGGATTTCACTTGTGTTTTAAAAGTTCTTAATGGAATTACTGCGTCGAGACGGGAAAGTGTGACATGAAATGCACTCAGTTTTATATCTGTTGGTGGAATGTCGCTGAGCGGGGGACAGGTGTGGGGGAAGGGAGGGAGGAACGAATGACTTGTGGAGTTTGACTAGGCTCCACGCATCGCGAAACGCGAAAACAGTAAACTTTCTTGATTCCTTCTCTCAGGTGACGAATATACTCATAAGCTTGCGAGTTTAAATGGTTACTGTTGAGATACGTGCCGCAATGTGTCACGTATATTCATAGAAATATGAACATAAATGATGAGGAGTGGATTTAACATTCTTCGCTTGGAAATACTGCGACGTGGCAAGCAAGTTGACACATTGCTGTTTGGGAGTCTATCAACTAGTGATAACGGTCGCCTACCGTTAGGTGGGCACTAGACCTAGACGTAATGCAACACAAACCAGTACGTGGCTTAATACGAAAGAGTAATCTTTTTTACCCCAAACGTATTCAGCGCACTTTTCAAGAGGTTTACACTCGGACATCGTCAGCCTCTTTAAAAAACAAAGAAGTTGTTTCAAAGAACCGTGTATTCCGGGTGGATCGCGCGCTGATTGGTTTGCACTGCGCTGCGGTGCGAATGCGTCATTGAACTAGGCCCGCAAGCGGAGAGCGGCGGCGTCGAGCGAGCGAGCGAGCGAGCGAGCGGTGCGCGGGGGTGGGGGGTGGGAGGGGTGGAGTGGATTAGAACTTGCGGCACTGCGGCGTGGCGGGCGTGTAGAGCGCGCCCGAGTAGAGCTTCTTGGGCGTGGAGGGCCACGAGATGAGCTCGACCTTCTTGAAGGGCTCGCGCGCGCAGCCCGAGCACACCTGCATCACCTGCGTCACCTCCCCCTCGGCGGGCTCGCGAGGGTAGTCGTCCCGCTGCGCCGCCTTCGTCTTGGCCGCCAGCAGCACGTCCTCGGGCACGCTCAGCGGGTTGTAGTCCGGCGGCAGCCCCAGCCCCGTCAGCTCCTCCACCAGCGCCTGCGTGCACGCGTGGACGGCTTAATAGCATACAACATTGTCATCATCTAACTAATAAATGAATAAATAAAGAATAAAACATATAAATAATAAATAAACATCTGCATATAAATAAAAGGAATGTGTGTATAGCTGTCGCACATAGATGCTAAATCTACTCCACCGGTTACGCTGAAATTTTTACCATTTGTTTTAATTAATATCGAGAGTGTTTATAGAGTTGCTTGAATTAAATCGGACATGTGGGGGCGTTGTGGATGATGATTTCTCAAATCGCCCTGGACGGAAGCTTTAGGCATCCCACCGCAATGTTGAAAGTTAATCGCTTATGTTGCTGCATATTCTTCCCCTGCGATTACGAAATATCAGCCGAAGTATTATTGGAACATTATCTCGGACAAGTAATCAAATTTCTCCAACACAGTGTCATAGGGAACAGCCCAAACTTCAGGGAGAACATGTTAACAATAGGATACTTGACAACCATGTCCAAACCAGGAGATAGAACCCATACTCGCGAGAAAGTCACTTATCTAATAAAATGTTCGTAGGGCGTAGCGTAAAACGTGATTAACAATGACGTGACCAGTAGCGTATGAAGTATAATACACTGCAATAGCGAAGCATTACCAGGTCCACAAGAAACGAAATAAATAAACTATTAATAAAACTAAAAATAGCATTTATTAGGGTGGGCATTTCGCACCCTAATATACGAACAGGTCCGCCCGATGAATTGGCCCAAAACCCATCAAGAATAACACAATGTGACGGAAAATTGAACATTTCAATAGAAAAATAATTGTGTATAGTATGAAACGATGATGTAATTACGGCAATTAATACACGAGTGTGTGGTGATATTTCAATACGAGAGCAGGGATCGAATATCATAAACTTCATGTGAGTGAATTAATACTCTTTATATCGAGCTTCAACCAGTACTTTTTCTACAGCTAATGACAAGTATTAAAAGTGAACTTTTTCGATTTAACGGTTTCCTAACAGCCGACAATAGTATTCCCAACATAGTAGCTGAACCATTATGGCGTCCGTTCCAGATAGTTGAAGAGATACGCTCTCCCTCCCCAAACCTGACGGCCGCCCCAGCGGCGTCCGTGCTCCCTGCCCTGTTGCCTGCGCCTCGGGTTAAGAGAGCGCGGGTTCTGAATGCGCAGCCTACTGCGGCCTTGCCCCGGGCCCGGTGAGCGTAGCACAGGCGAAGAGCTAGCGTCGAGGCGCCTCGAGAACTCGGTCGCTGCCCCAGGGTTGCCATGTGGATGTCTGGCGCGATCGTTAACGTGCGTCTAAGTGGATGTAGCCATATGCGGCGGCAGTAAATATCTAATTAAATGGCTTCATTTGGATGGCCGTCAGGTATCGGAACACTCGATTTTCTCTTCTATGTCTACGTTGCTTCTTTGGAAATAATTGTCCGGTCGCAAGCGGCAGTAAGTGACCCAGATGCGGTGGGTAGTCGTGTTTAAAGCTCCATGCAACATATAGATGAGGAATACTGTGTAAACTGTTGAATACTGTGTATCAATAAATTATAATAAAATATAGTTTTGATATCGGTCAACTTTGGATCTTATGACACGGCGCTGATAACCAAACATGCTTTTAGTTGGAGGAAATAGCTTTTAGAACTGTCTTCCTTTACACAATTATGATAACGCCATACTTATTAATACGAGTATCACGGAATATGAAAGGATTATTATTATTATTATTATTATTATTATTATTATTATTATTATTATTATTATTATTTAAGTACTATTTGGTTGATAATTCCGTCTTTTAAACTCTTGTTACGTTATCACCATTTAGCCTTCTATTACATATATTATTTATCTTGACACGTTTATCTATATTTTAGAGGAATTACATCTAACACATTTTACGTTTGAGCTGTTCCAAAAATATATAAATGACTAGGCAAACAAATTGTTCCTGTCATTTCCAACTAATCATCATTCAATAGTTCATTTGGTACCTTGGCATGTTTTGGAAAGAAATCTACCTTATAGTGGTCTAAAAAATGCAGTTGGGGATTTTTTTAATCGATTTCTCGTGCATTAATGATTACATTTAGTTCGCTAGCATTTTCTCGAAGAACAACATCTTAATAAGTGAGTGGAAGTTTCCTTAAAGTACTGCAAGGGTCATTTCGTTGATGATCAGCACTTAACTAATGATGTGTATTGACCAAATATCTTTCGGGAATATCCATCCAACATCCCCAATCTCAAAAAATTGTGGATTTTTAGTATTATCAAACTTGTCTTCGTACATTGAGTTGTAGGCAGAAACATGACCAAAACGTAACAGCATATTCTCTTCGATCAACTTTCTTCTAACGAGAACAAACCGCATACTTTCTTTATGTTATATAAGGAGAATTAGATTCGTAATTTGCACACGCAATGCCCTGCACACGTGGTATGCGATCATGTTCCATTCGCATTTTATGTGCTCTCTCTAGATGGACACGCTGTCATGTACGCTGCAACTGGTGGTTACGTGTCTGGCGCCCATTGCGTTTCAGCTGACCAGCTAGATATTATTTATGATGTCGTAGCGGGCCGGTCACCGAACCTACTTCACGACGCGACCACTCTCCAATCCCGGGTCTCAGCGAACGTAAATTCCTTACGTAAGCGACTTGTCGTGTTAATGACGGAAGTCCGCATAGAAGAACAGGATCCGTTCTACTCCATCAGTTAGGGGGAAGTGTAAGTAAGCTGTTTTCGCGGTGGAAACACACTTACTCCCACCAGAGCGGACTACGTGTCTCGGTCGTAAGACGCTTATTAAGCCTGTCGTGTCAAGTGCGACTGTCATGTACCCTTCCGATCTCTCATTCATGCCGCGCGATTAAGTAGAGTGCTTACCGTTTCCCGTTCCTCCGCTTGTGCATGGCTAATGGCAGTAATGCAAATAGCTACTTGACTCGAGCCTTGAAGCCAAAGATCGTTAACTGCGCCTCAGAGCCATTAATAATGCAATGCGGCTGTGATAATTTGTGCCACGTGGATTCACGAGTGGGAAATAATTTAGGCTAAGCGTTATGTAAATGGATTGTATTTTATGGCTTATAATGCACATTCCTCTTCTAAAAGAATGCCATAGGAAGAAAATGCGTTGTGTAAGCCAAGGGCAAAACTTGCTAATAGAGATTTGATAATCCCAGTTTTATTATTGAACTCATAAATCCAGATTGTGCGGTAGGCCGATTAAAATATAATTTAATTAAAAGAATATACCCATCTGGGACTTTTGGTATGAGATTTTATGACTTATTAAACCAAGTTAATTTCAGTACCCTTATTTCACAATTCTTTTGGTAAAACATGTGCTAACATAGATTTTTTTGGCGGCAGAGTTTGACTAGTAATGACGTTGTTGTTATTGTGAATGTAGGCACGTACGCCGTGTGCGCTTGATTTCATTGGCGAACTCCCCCGCGAGATCTCTCCCGTCCGCGCCTCCTTTGTTTTGCCACAACCGCTCCGCCGACCAATTGTTCCCGCGGGTGGCAATCTTCGAATTCCGCTCCTTAATTAAACGCTCGCTGATACTGCAGCGTTGCGCTTCGCCAAAGGAGCACAGAGTAACTTCGACGCAACCAGCGGGGAAATGAGCCAGAAACGACGTTTGAGAAGTTGGCGGGAGGGGTTTCTTCGGTTACGAATTAAGTACCTGCTTAATCTAATGAAATAAGCGGTCGCGAAAGCACCTGGCTGTGCCTGTAATGCGCTCCTGGAGGCAAAATGCGGTGGCGTGACATTCTTGCACATAAAGGGCACAAAAGAGCAATTTGGGGTGAATAATAACTTCGATATTTTTTGTAGGCAGGCCACTAGTTTTTTTCTATTTTTCGGAATGGGTTTGCTCACAAAATAAACAAACATAGAGTTAAAATGTTAAATTGTATGTAATGCACGAGCATTGTGATGTATTATTTTCTTATAAATATCTTGATACCTTACAAATAAACCTATTTATGGTTTATTAGACCCGGTCAATATTTCCCTCTGAGGTTATTTCTCTTTGGTTCACTCTCAAACATCTCAACACCAACTGCGTTTTTCTACCTTTTTTATGTATTAGAGTTCTGTGACCATTACGAAAATATTGCATCCAGACCATTCTAAGCTGTCGAAATGGTTTCCAGTCAAGTATCAAGCCGTTTGTGAGCGTTCAGTGTTGTATGCTTAAGGAAGTGAACAGAGACGAGGAAGGAAGGGACGCGTGTTTGCTGCTCAGTAGTTTGGAGCCCAGTTGCGAGTTCCGGGATGCAGGAAAAACGAAACGGGATCCGCCTGGAGGAAAGTACAGAACTGACGGATCAGATCAGCCAGCCTTTAGGATTCTCCCAAGACCGAAAAGTTATTTGTCACAGTTTTTTTAAGGCCTCGAAAAATCAGTCCCAATAGGGGCCTGACGCTATATCCGTGCGGTGTTTGAAGCGTCGGCATGGGTGGTTGGCGGCAACGTACCTGTGACACTTGCCGCTTGCTCTTGCCTCCGGCGGCGCCCTCGCCGTCGCCGTCGCCCTCGCCCTCGTCGGCGGGCGCGCTCTGCTGGCGCTTGAAGAGCTGGTGCTGCGCCAGGCCGGCGGGGAAGAGCGAGATGGTGGCGGCGGCGGTGGCGGGGGTGGGCGCGGCGGCCGGCAGCGGCAGGCCTCCGCGGTAGCCCTGCGGCACGCACGCGCGCGCGGGTGAGGCTTGCGGGCAGCGCTTGGGCTCTCGCACGTGCGTCGCGAAGGGGCGTGGAATTCAAAGGTCAACGTTCTCACATGCCAACCTACGCATCATGTTCCTAAAGTTATCGAACTGTGAAGATGGCATCAGGAATTCAAAGCCCTTCAATTTAAAAAGAGTTTTGTCTTAATGCTCACGAAATACAGTTGTAGTATGCTTGCGTATTTGTTGTTTTAGAGAAACCGTAAGCTCATTATTACTCGTACATATGCGAAGGATTTTATGAAACGTTTACAGCCTTTATATGCCACGTAACATGTTTTCACATTTTCTAGAAGTCTGAACGAACAAATGGAATTATACAATAAGTTTAAACAAAGGTACTTTCTTGTCTGCGTTCATTGTGTCATTTCCAGCACTTTTTGAAAAGAAAATGTTCTCGTTGTACATTAAACGATGTCGAATATCTAATTATGAGTTTTATAGTACGATCTTTTGCGCAAAAATAAAACAAATCCCGACACTTAATTTCGAAGAAACTAGATATTCTCCTTCTCCGCCTGTATGTTATGCAATATCGGACGCCATTCACTCGTGTATAACGTGTTGCATACCACATGGCGCCGTGCCACATACCACATGGATACGTCCTCTGCTGGCTCCTGAGTTTCGTTTGAGGAAATTTACTTTGGCTGTAATAAAGCGTATGAGGCAGTGAGCAAAAAAGGAAGGATGAAATAATACTGATAATATCCTTTTTGAGTTTTTGAAGTACCGGAATAAGACACATTAAAGTGTTTTTGTGCAAATAAATTGAACGATAAATCGTACTTTTGAGATTCTTCACATACGCAAACTCTAACATTACAATAGTCATATTGGAAAACGCTAATTCGGAAATTCCGTGACTTCCATCGTGCAAGATACAAGTCACGTAGTAACGATATATGAAATGTGTTACCAAATGTGATGGCAGTGTGTTGCTAGCTCTTTATCCTCATGATGCAATATCATGTTAGTCATGTTGTAGATCAATTCAAACAATTGCAAATCAAGAGGATGTGCTATTATGGTAATTTAGGTTTAACTGCTGTCTCCCGTCACAGTTGTGAATTCTATTTATCGTCATTTGAGATCAAAACGAGCAAAAAGTCTCTTTTGTGACGTCATGGATACTCACAGCGACCACAGACACAGAGCTTTCGTATAACAATATATTTATTAACAAAGAAAACAAAACAAATATATACACTTAATAATTTACTTACACCCTAGCTCTGATAGACCTATTATCCCCTGATCGCGGGAGCGATCCAAACCCGATTGAAGATGGTTTTGATTGTGGCATTCGCCACTCCTACTTTTGAAGCGCGCACAAAGCCTAGCTTCCGTGACCGGATGTCACGCTGGGACACAAAGTCCGTTCTGGCGCACCAACGGCTGGTTTGCCTCGATCGCAGGAGCGATCTTATCCGATTGAGAATCGGCGTGAATCGTGGCACTCAACCACTCTTCACCTCGGAGCACGCACACAGCATCGCTCCCCCGTGACCGCAGTCACCCAAGGACATACAGTCCGCAGGCTTCGTCAACTAATGACTCCAGCCTCGCGAGCCTGGCTCGCATATGCACCGTCTTGGCGCCAAGTTTTGTGCACACGCACGAGGTTCTCCCACCGTCTCCAGAACCTCCCTACTGGCTCCGTACACTCTGTTATATAGGCGAGGCCCACGTGACCTCCTACGTCACGCCACCCCCTCGCTTGTTATAACAGTGAAAAGCTTCTATAAGCCGGAAGACACCGAAAGCCTTGTGTCTCCCGTCTCCGCGTTCTTCCCTTTACGGAAAAACCCTACTTCCTGTGGCGAGACTAATCCGCAACCAAGCGTCCCCAAATAGATGCCATGAGGCACGCTGGCTAATACGTTACACTTTACACGACAACGATGCAGGTCATGTGATTGACACTAACGTGTATCAGAGCGTTTTCGAATACGACGTGCAAAATATGTTATTCTAGAGGGAATTTCCGTTGCAAGTGACCGAAAAACGAAACCAGTGTTCATATATTTAGTGGAGTGTACGCTTCGCAAAATACATTTGCTGGAATGTACGCCGTTCTGTTTTCTAATTAGGAAAGCAAAAATTATCGCTAAAACACCATGAACACTATTTGTGTCGTTCGGGGTGGAGTGTCAGTCGAATGATTGAGCGTCAACTGCTGAGGACATTTGTGCAACAAGTGTTGGCGATGTTCTTATCGCGGGAGGTGGCGGTGATCTTGGATGACGAGATCCGACGTGGACCTACACGGTGGCTGGCAACCAACGTGGTACCGCCTCAGCCGATCCCGATTAGTCGCGTGACGTGTATGGTAGTGTAGTGCATGTAAGGGTAAGCATTTGTAAGTAGTTGGTGATGATATGATAAGGAAGAAAGATAGTGCGCGTTGCGTGGCCCGTTTGTTAGGGAACTGCTCCGGCATTCGCCTGGTATTGATGGGAGAAACCGCGGAGACTGGCGATGAGAGGAGCCCCGTGCGCGCAGCGTGCCGGCCGGGCCGCGGGTCTCACCTGCAGAATGGCGTGGGCGGCGGGGTGCGGCTCGCCCACGGGCCGCGTGAGGCCGGCCAGCTGCGCGGCCACGTGGTGGCCCGAGGGCGCCAGCTGCCCGCCCACCAGGAAGGGCGACATGAACTGCGGCACGGGCGCCAGCGTGGAGCCCACCGAGGGCAGCGGCGGCGCGTTGGGGCTGACGCCGTTCTTGGGGTTGGTCTCGTAGTGGTTGCCGTGGTGGTGCTTGTGGTCGCGGTGCGCCTTGCCCGGCGCCAGCGCCGCCGCGTACAGGTGCAGCAGCGTGAGCTCGCCCAGCATCCCGCCCGCGCCGCGCGGCGCGCCCGGGCCCTCGAGGAAGCCGCCGCCTGGCTGGCGCTGCTCCTGGCCCGACAGCGCCACGCCGCCGCCCGGGATCACGTGCCCCACCAGCTGCTCGCAATTAAACAACACTCAACACTTCGCCTTTCTTCTCCGGGCTACCTTTTATCTGAATTCTACTCATTTGCGACTTTGCTTTTTAAAACGATTCCACGAAGAGAAAGTTTTCAACAAAATCGAATGAATCGGCACACCTTATGCAAGTATAAATGAACTTAAATTGGTTGTATACAAGGAATTAGCGTACACAGACTAAATTATATATAATCATGAATCTTTATATAAATGTGTAAAATGTCTCTTTATTTACATTTTTGTCTCGGAAAAATTTACAAAATTAAAATGTGATAAAGAATGCTTACTTTTTGCTTTGGCCTTTTAGGCGCTTCTTAACAGAACGTGAAGGTTGGTGCGAGAAAGAACTTTGTCGTTTCTTTCCAAAATAGTACTACATAGTCTACAATTATATAATACAACCAGGAGTGTTCATTTTAGACTCGTTAAATGTTATATGTAAAATTATGAAAACTGCACCCTGTAAAATATTTTGCGTGGTTAATTTCTGAGATGACAATTTGCATGGAAAATAGTATATTGTTGTGGCATATCGTATTTTATACTCCTACGAGTATTCCAGAGTTAGATTCGCGGAATATGATTGCCTTCTTGATAATCGACATTATAATACATTACATTACATGTAAAGATCCATTAAGAACACAATTAACACTCACATATTTTCTTATAAATAATCATACAATTTTGATTTTTTTTCTGCTTCTTTTAAATGCCCACAAAGAAATGTTAATTAACGAAGTACAGCATTTTATTTTGTAAGAGTGATTACACGTATTGCATGCGCCCATGTTACAGTGTGGAATTTCTCAAATCACGAAACCGGCGTTACCAGTACTGCTTGTTAACTTTTTCCTGTAGTCGAAATCTTACATAAGAAGCGCCACAAAGTCTTCCAGCGGAGGAGTTGTGGCGCGAATCGCTCCGCATTTTTCATCGCACTTTCCCCCAAAATATCCTCATTGCAAACTGCGATCCACAATTTGCTCACCATTGAAAATTCCTGCCGTAACTCTACGGGTCAAAAGTGAAATGTAATGTTGGTATTTCTATTACGTTTTTAATTTTTTAGCAAATCAGTCTTTAGAAAATCAGAGCTTATAAAATATAAATGTCCTGTCCGCGCCTGTGCCTCTCTCTCCGCCGAAGACGCGCGGCCGCCCGCCCCAGCGACCCGAGCGCGCCCGCCGCCGCGCGTTGCCTTCCCGGACTTCTATCTCGCGCCGCCTTCAGGATGCAAAGGAGATTGCTTTCTTGTGTTCTCTCTTCGCGGTCGGCTGGCAGGGCCGACGGGCGGTTTCCGGGGGGCGCCGATAAGAGCGCACGCGCCTGCCCGCGCCCACCCGCCCGCGCCCACCCGCCC